TTAGGTATCTGTCCCAGTGACACCCGTTCCCCTCTAGTCATCTGTCCCGGTGACACCCGTTCCCCTCTTGGCATCTGTCCCGGTGACACCCGTTCCCCTCTAGTCATCTGTCCCGGTGACACCCGTTCCCCTCTAGTCATGTGTCATGGTGTCACCAGAGCCTAGGAATAGGCTGGAGTTGGGCTGTCATGAAATCTCTGTGGTGCAATGGGTTGACGTCGCTGGGCACTGAGCTAGCACAGAGTTTGCAGGCAGTGAAGGGTGGTGTCACCCTCTATTGTTTTACAAATGTTCCGGCAGGTTGTGCTGATGCTTTTTTTCTGGAGTTGCCCTTTAATTTTACCGGCACGTCATACGTTGTCTTGGATGTTTCCCCGATGCCTGGAATGTTGGCGGGGTGCCTCTGAGGATCCGGGGGGACAGGAGGGGGGAGCTGGTGGCTGTGTTCCCGGGCTATTCCAGGGTTCATTGAGGGAGAAGTGACTGCACAGCTGGACCAGGGTGCGGCCCCTCCAGATGTGATGGTGGGGGAAGGGGGGGAGTTATACGTCCCATTTGTCTCGTCATTGAGGAATGTAAAGTCTGATGTCAGGAAGTCACCCACCGGGACCCCGGGCACTGCCCGTACATAGACGTGTCCAAAGAACTTCCAAGCCTCAGCACAGACATTTACTGACTACATTACTGAGATATATAAAGTACCGCAACCCACTGTGACCAATCAGAGCTCATAATAGACTATAGAAAGAAAATATATCTCAATCCATCCTTCCGATACCCATCTATCCAATATCCTTCCATCCCATACCCATCCATCCAATAGCCTTCCATCCGATACCCATCTATCCACCACCCAATAACCTTCCATCCGATCCCCATCTATCCAATAGCCTTCCATCCCATACCCATCTATCCAATAGCCTTCCATCCCATACCCATCTATCCAATAACCTTCCATCCAATACCCACCTATCCAATATGCTTCCATCCCATACCCATCCATCCAATAGCCTTCCATCCGATACCCATCTATCCAATATTCTTCCATCCCATACCCATCCATCCAATAGCCTTCCATTCCATACCCATCCATCCAATAGCCTTCCATCCGATACCCATCTATCCAATATCCTTCCATCCGATACCCATCTATCCAATATCCTTCCATCCAAAACCCATCCATCCAATACAAACCTATCCAATATCCTTCCATCCCATACCCATCCATCCAATATCCTTCCATCCAATACCCACCTATCCAATATCCTTCCATCCAAAACCCATCAATCCAATACAAACCTATCCCATACCCATCCATCCAATAGCCTTCCATCCAATACCCACCTATCCAATATCCTTCCATCCAAAACCCACCTATCCACAAACCTATCCAATATCCTTCCATCCCATACCCTTCCATCCAATACCCACCTATCCAATATCCTTCCATCCAAAACCCATCCATCCAATACAAACCTATCCAATATCCTTCCATCCCATACCCATCCATCCAATAGCCTTCCATCCAATACCCACCTATCCAATATCCTTCCATCCAAAACCCATCCATACAATACAAACCTATCCAATATCCTTCCATCCAATATCCTTCCATCCAATGCTCACCTATCCAATATCCTTCCTTCCCAATACCCATCCTTCCCAAACCTATCCATCCAATAGCCATCCTTCCCAAACCCATCCATCCAATAGCCATCCTTCCCATACCCATCCATCCAATAGCCATCCTTCACAAACCCATCCATCCAATAGCCATCCTTCACAAACCCATCCATCCAATAGCCATCCTTCCCATACCCATCCATCCAATAGCCATCCTTCACAAACCCATCCATCCAATAGCCATCCTTACCCTTCCATCAAATACTCATGCATCCAATACCCATCCATGCAATCTCCCTCTCCCCATCTGATTGTCTGTTGTTTCCTTCATGCAGGTTTTGCACTCCCTGTCTCTGAACAAATGCCATACTGGGAGGTGTATCCGCAGCTGAGTAGCAGTGATGGGCGTAGACTGACCCCACAGGAAGTGGTTGGGGTAAGTACCCACCCCAGCGATGCTCCCCATCTTTTAGTCGGGTTGTCCCTTGTTTTTGTTTCAGTTTAGGAGGACTGTCCCTTTAAGAGAAGAGTTTAGAAGCAGTGTTCCATTAACCCTTTCGCTGCCAAGCCCTCCGGAACATTTTTCAAATCAGCTGGCCAAGCCATTTTTGAATTTTCTGCAATTTTTTCCTATTGATTTGATTAGAGTGTTTAGGGTATGCTTTAAGAGGAGGGAGTGTAATTGGAGAGCCCCTTTGAGAGGAGTTTAGTAGGAGGGCTCCTTTAAGAGGAGTTTAGTAGGAGGGCTCCTTTAAGAAGAGGTAAGTAGGAGGGCTCCTTTAAGAGGAGTTTAATTGGAGGGTTCCTTTAAGAGGAGTTTAGTCAGAGAGCTCCTTTAGGAGGAGTTTAGTCGGAGGGCTCCTTTAGGAGGAGAGTGTTTATGAGGAGGGCTCCTTTAGGAGGAGAGTGTTTATGAGGAGGGCTCCTTTAAGAGGAGAGTGTTTGTTTATGAGGAGGGCTCCTTTAATAGGAGAGTGTTTGTTTATGAGGAGGGCTCCTTTAAGAGCAGAGGGCGTTTAGTAAGAGCAGCGATCCCTGTGGTGTCGGCTCCTGGGAGTGTCGCGGTGATTGGCGGCGGTGGGTGTGGCCGGGACAGGTGTGGCCGGCAGGTGTACAGATTAACCCCCTCCTGTCCTGGCGATGACATCACCACCTCTCCTGTCCCTGGAAGGAGTGAGGCATTTCCTGTCCGTGTCGCCCTGACCTCACCAGGGAGGGTTCCTTCCTCTATCGCCCGGGAACAATGAGCGCACGGGGGAGGGTCACAACCGCCTCTCACTTCCTAATTCTTGGTCCGCCGCGCCATTCATCTGCCTCTGTGCATAAAGGGGAACCCCCCCCGCTGCATGCAGAGAACAATCACCTTTATCTCCAATCAGACTGACAGCCTGACAGACTATGTGCTCATCACCCTCTGACTTCTCTGACACATTGCATTATGGGAAATCGGCCTCTCACCATAAGTGTCTCCTGCAGAAAGGGCTGCAGACTTCCTGAAACCTAACAGAGTGATGTGGCCCTGTCAGATTCGGAAGGGGCCCCGCAAGGACACAAAGTCTGCGAGGGGCCCGGGTCACGGGGTTACATTGGGTATCTGAGATTGTGGAATTCTCAGGCTCCGGCCGTGTCAGGATTCCCCTGTTTCCTCTTCTCTCTTCCGCACAAGGAGGGTGTGAAAACTTTTCTTTGATTAAAGATCCTGTTAGAGCGTCCGGAGGGGGGAGGGTCGGGGATCTTTATGTTTCCCATGCTGCGTCCCTTTCCTAACCCCCCCCCCCCTTCCATCCTGAGAGCAGCATGGAGCTGATGGCAAGACACAGAAATTCCCTTCGGACGTTTTAAACAGCAAATTGGAGCTTGGTAAAGGGTCAGGGATAGGGGTTCAGGGGGTTAGGGTTGGTATTTGGGGGTTAGGGTCAGGGGCTTAGTGTTAGGGGGTTAGAGTCAGAGTAAGGAGTTGGGTTAGGATCAGGAGGTTAGTGTTAGGGGTAAGAAGGTTAGGTTGAGGGTTACGTTTAAGGGGTTAGTGTTAGGGGGGGATGGATTCAAAATAAGGGGGTTAGGATGAGAGTCAAGGTTAGTATTAGAGGTTAGGGTGAGGATAAGGGTCGGTGTTAGGGGGTTAGGCCTCATTCACACTGCACGGAGCCGGCGTGCACGGCCGTATCGGGCCGCTCCCGGGAAGGACAGGCGCTGCGTGTGATTGTACGCCGCAGCCTGTTCTTCTATATGGGAGTACCCGGCCGTACGCTCACCCGAACTGCACATCCGTGCGGGTGTCTGTGCTCGGACGCAGACAGGATCCACCCTGTCTGCGTGCAAGTATGGACACCCGCAGGGATGCGCAGCTCGCGTGAGCGTACAGCCGTGTACTCCCATATGGAAGAACAGGCGGCGGCGTATAATCACACGCAGCGCCTGTCCTTCCCGGGAGCGGCTCGATACAGCCGTGCACGCCGCACCGATCTGTACAGGCCGGCCCTTAACCTGCAATAATTGGTCAGGGTAAGGGGGTTAGGTTCAGGGGTTTAAGGTTAGTGTTAAGGGGTTAGAGTCAAGCTAAGGGGGTTGGGTTAGGGTCAGGGGGTTAGTATTAGTAGTTAGGGTGAGGGTTATGTTCAGGGGGTTAGGGTCAGAGTTAAGGTTAGTGCTAGGGGGTTAGGTTTAGTGTTAAGCTCTCTATACATTGTGATTTTTCTCTTGTTCATCCCAGGCGTTGAGTGGGAGGCTGCCAACAGGGTCACCCACTGAGCAAATTTCAGCCAGAGGTGTCTAAAGTTTTCTCTGTGTATGGCCAGATTTAGGGTCAGGGTTAGGTTAATGGTGTCAGGTTTAGGATCAAGGTTCGAGTGAGGATTAGGTTAAGGATCAAGGTTAGGGTTAGGGTGAGGGTTAGGATCAAGGTTGCAGTGAGGGCCAGGGGTAGGATCAAGGGTAGGGTGGGGGTGAGGGTTAGGATCGAGGTTAGAGTGAGGGGCAGGGTTAGGATCAAGGTTGGAGTGATGGTCAGCGGTAGGATCAAGGTTAGAGTGAGGGTTAGGACTAGAGTCAAGGTAAGATAGAGGGTTAGGATCAAGGTTGGAGTGAGGGTCAGATTTAGGATCAAGGTTGGAGTGAGTGTCAGGTTTAGGATCAAGGTTGGAGTGAGGGTCAGGTTTAGGATCAAGGTTGGAGTGAGGGTTAGGATCAAGGTTGGAGTGAGGGTCAGGTTTAGGATCAAGGTTGGAGTGAGGGTTAGGATCAAGGTTGGAGTGAGGGTCAGGTTTAGGATCAAGGTTGGAGTGAGGGTTAGGATCAAGGTTGGAGTGAGGGTCAGGTTTAGGATCAAGGTTAGTTTGAGGGTTAGGATTTAGGTTATGGTTAGAGTCAGGGTAAGGGTCAGGTCAGGGTTAGGATCGAGGTTACGGTGAGGATCAGAGTTAGGATTCGGGTTAGGGTGGGAGTTAGGGTTAGGTCAAAGTTCGAGTGAGGGTCACGGTTAGGAGCCAGGTTAGAGTGAGTGCCAGGGTTAGGATCAAGGTTAGGGTGAGAATCAGAGTAAGGGTCAAGGTCAGGGTTAGGACTAGACAGATTGCAGACACAACTCCACCATACCTTACAGATATACATCAAATTATCATGAGGGCATCTTCATAGATCTGTGGGGCCCCGTACAGCCTCGTCAGTGCCATCGTTGGCAAGGTGCAGTGCAGTTGGCCTCTGGCTCTGAGAAGCATGTATACAGCATGGTGGTCATGTGCTGCTCTTCTGCCTGCACCCCCCTGTCGGTGGCCTTGTAGATATATACGGTTTGTCTATATATATCTCCCCAGGAAGGACGAGGAACATTTTGTAGCAGAAACTATGTAGGAAAGTTTGGACATCGGTGTGAATAAATAAATAGACTTTTCCTGCCGGCTTTCTCTTACGATGGCCCCGCACCAACATTGAGGAGTCAGAATATTTATTCTAATATATCCCGCAGGGTCAGCGACCTTTCCACATGAAGTGTTATATAGACGAGTGAACAATAGCGCGTTGTAGTCTCAGTCCGTTTTCACTTTTTGCTGTCAGAGTTACACTGCTGATGACGAGTCAGACTCAGTAATGAATAAATATTGCGTTCACCTCGCCAGCAGCAGTTCAACTTTGTGTGTGAAAACTGATTCACCGGTGTACACACAAAACACGTTCATCCCCAATGCACGCACCTCAGACTTCAGGTGAACTCTCAATGCCTTCACACCACAAATCTGCCCCCAGTGCATACACTTCAGACCTCAATGCATGCACCTTAGATCAGCCCCAATACATGCACCTCATACCTTAGATCAGCCCCAATACATGCACCTCATACCTTAGATCAGCCCCAATACATGCACCCCAGATTCACCCCCCGACACCGGTGTACACACAAAACACGTTCATCCCCAATGCACGCACCTCAGACTTCAGGTGAACTCTCAATGCCTTCACACCACAAATCTGCCCCCAGTGCATACACTTCAGACCTCAATGCATGCACCTTAGATCAGCCCCAATACATGCACCTCATACCTTAGATCAGCCCCAATACATGCACCTCATACCTTAGATCAGCCCCAATACATGCACCCAAGATCAGCCCCCAGTGCATACACTTCAGACCTCAATGCATGCACCCCAGATCAGCCCCCAGTGCATACACTTCAGACCTCAATGCATGCACCCCAGATCAGGCCCAATAAATGTACCTCATGCCTTAGATTCACACCTCAGATCAGCCCCCAGTGTATACACTTCACACCTTAGATCAGCCCCAATGCATGCACCTCAGATCAGCCCCAATGCATGCACTTCACACCTCAGATCAGCCACAATGCATGCACCTCAGATAAGCCACAATGCATGCACTTCACACCTAAGATCAGTCCCCAATGGATACACCTTCACACCTCAGATCAGCCCCCCCAAATACATGTACCTCAGACTATAATTCAGCCCCAATGCATGCACCTCGGATCAGCCCCAGTGCATTCACCTTCTCATCTCAGATCAACCCCCAATGCATGCACCTCAGGTCAAGCCCCAATGCATGCACCATAGATCAGCCCCCAATGCATGCACCGTAGATCAGCCCCCAATGTATGCACCTCAGATCGATCCCCAATGCATGCACCGTAGATCAGCCCCCAATGCATGCACCTCAGATATCAGATCAACCCCAATGCTTGCACTTCATACCCTAGATTAGCCCCAATACATGCACTTCAGACTCTAAACTCTCCAGGACTTCGGACTCTCAGCCATAGGTGTGGCGCCCCTTTTCTTCTACCTCTCTTGGATTGTGTCTGAAGCGCCCTCCAGAGGCCAGCCTTAGCGGAGTCACATTGGACCCAGCATCTCCATCTCATTCCACGAGTGTCAGCTCAGCCATATACTGTACACAGAACATGTACCGTATGATATGTGTACCGCCTTAAAAGAGGTTTGGGTCCTTGTCCTTCTTATCTGTTTTTCAGGTGCAACAAAAAGTTACATACTAACTGATTAAGTACAATATTTAAAATCATTGGCTGGGTTGGCGTTCATATTGCACATTCACCGGCTGCACATTCACCCGGTTGACTCATTTTGCCGAGGTTTCACCTGGGTTTGTTTTAATCCTTCAGTAGGAAATGTAAAGCTCGGTAACATTCATAGTTTTCATAGTACAGGTGACAGGTCCTCTTTAGAAATTCTGCCATCACGTCATCCTTCCAGTTTCTTTTTTTCTTTTAGACCTTTTAGTTGATTTTTAATACTCCTGTTATATTCCCGCGAGAGGCGAACGTCCTCGGCGTGAGATCTTTGTAGAGTAGCCAGGACAAAGCTAAAAATATACCATCATGAATAGGAACTTCCGTTACAGCTCAACAATAAATATTGTTTCCTGGA